AATGAAAGAATTAAATTATGCTCATATTGAAAAGGAAAGACTATCACTTGTTTGAATTGAAAAAAAAAGATACTTCATTATATGGCATTTTTTGTTATATTTTATTTTTGCTTATTTTTGTGTTTTTTTTTTTTTTTGTGTGTGTGTATGTTTTTGTTTCTGTTTACTTTTACTTTGTACATTAACCATAAACCACACTTGGGACTGTTTCCTAAAAATTAGCCCATTCCTTCTCTCTGCTGTACAGTGTTGGCCATTATTCTGAGCTGGCTATAACTAAAAATTAATCATACTGAGTCCACCAATAGTAATGCTGCTTGGCTTGTCTTCTGGCAAATTCTTTAGGATTTAATTCCTCTGACTATACCTAAAACACATTTGGTTACAAGTATATGAATCAACTTTGAATGGCTGGAGAAATCATTGCAATTGTTGATGACTAACATTTACAATCGAGAATTGAATTGTAAATATGCTGGGATACTGTAGAAAAGTTGGGAGCATCTCTCCCCTGGTTGAAGGTTTTGCAAAAGCTTTATTGGATTCATCAGAATAGTATGCATGAATCTCTTGCTCAGTACCATGTAATGACCAAACCTGGACACTGGTATTGAAATGGAACACAATACTTGAGAAATATATATTCAAGGGCTGAGTAGCTTGAATAAAGATTTTTCATAACTGGGAAATAGTATATATGAATTTTTCATGGGGCATTATTTGTTGTTGAGGTATATTTGCATTGGAAGGAAGTGTCTTACAAAGTCATCTATTGCTTCAGTCACAGTTGGAAAATTGAGAGGAATCTATGTATACTCTGCTGATATTAGTGATAATGGCTCATGTTTCATCAATGACTATTTCAAATTGGTCTATATCCTCCATCTTCAAATGGCCAAGCTGAACACACTGTTCACACAATGAGGCAATAATGACAGTGGATAGAAAAGAGACACTCAAAACTAAAGTTAACAGGTTCTTGTTCAATAGCTTTTTTTTTTTTTTTTTTTTTTTTAATGATGACATCTTGGTGCAAAGAATGCGCGACACCTGTATGATACTACTAAAAGATATTAAAATTATAAACCTAACATTTGTTTTATTTTTCTCTTTTTGTAACACATCCCTAGATAGTGGTAACCAAATATGTTACCCCACTTGTCAATCCTCAAGTCCCTTCAGACCGCTTTGGCTAATGATGATTTGGTTTATAAAATGATTTTTTGTATACAGCAGTTTTAACCTTTTTCACTTGTTATAATCAAATGACACTGGGAGCTCCTTTGGTGTCTGCAGCTTGTTTGAGTAGTAACTTAAATTTCTAAGTTCTGGTCTTCATATCCAGTACAATGTGGATTCCAGTAGCAGTAGTGTGAGAACTCGCACTTTCTCTCCATGTGTGTCTCAGCTTTCCAAAATCTCTAGCTTATATTGAGTCCTGCATCTGGCAGGTGTGGGGTTAACTAGAATTTCAGTTCAGTTGTCCTACCCTAAACATCAACCTTTTCTAAATTTCTATATATAAAAATGCATTTAAGTGGTTTCTCAAATTTGGGGTTGTCCAGCCCCCTTTTGAGAGTGGTCAGAGGAATCAATTCACTCCTTAACTCCAACTCCCTTCATGCCTTTCCTCACACCATAGCTTTATGTAGGCAGTGCTAATCTCTCTTCTCCCACTTTCTCAGCAGCTAACCTCAGCCCACTCCTAGGGCTGGTGTGATGAATCCAACTTCTGGATGGTGCTGCAAAAGCAAAAAGGATTTCCAGTCATTAATCCTTCTTTATCAGCTTGCCACATGCTATGATCTCTTAATCGTCCAGACAACTGAAGATTTGGAAAAGGAAAGAAAAAATATTTCCACTCTTCTTAAAATCAAAGTTTCTTTTCTCTGTCTATGCATATTTTTATGATCAACAGACCACACAGTCTTTTTGTCCATGGTCACTTCAAAATAGTAATTTTTTCCTCATCACTTGTATCCAAAGGAATCCGAATTAATGTTTGGATATAAAATTTTCTCTGAATGAATGTCACAAAAATTATAATGATGAATGTGTCCAGTCAGTCTCTATCTCTGTGGGGATATTTCTCTTCTGGGTGGCTGATTTAAAACAGATGTTTGTTTTTCCTGGCCAGAGGAAACAAAACACTCAAGTTTAAGTGTGGGATGTTAATGTTGTGGAACATGTTTTTTTTTGAGGAGGGGGTGTTGGTTAAGATAGTGGACTTTGAAGCAATGACAAAATAACAAAAATAACAAAACAGTTGTTAATTTTGAAGTGAGAGTAAATGTACTGCAAGGAGAGTTGGTTCACTTTGTTGTGCCAAAAAAATTTTTGCTTCAGAATCCATCTTGCACATTTACAAATCTACCATTTATCTGTGCATTGAATACTGTTGCCATATGTGGTCTGGTGCTCTTGCTGTACAGCTAGAGATCCTTGACAAAATCTAAAGAAGGATCTGTAATGTAATTGATCCTGATAAGTCATCTCAATTTTGGTCACTTTCTCACCAATGTGACGTGGCTTCCCTTTTTCTTGTCTATATTTTCATGGCAACTGCTCTGACAAGCTTTTATCCTTGGTGACCTGAATACATGAATTTAAGTGTGCTAATAGATTAGCAACTAGGTCTCACCCCTTTTACTGCTGAACTACCTAAATACAACCACCATTTCTACTCCAGTTCCTTTTCATGTACTTCCCATTCAATTTCTTGTTTCACAGATAACTACAATCTTCAAAAGTTTAAATGCAATATCAATCATCTTTCTTCTTGAACCCCATTTATCTTTTGTCTTTTCCTCAATCTCCCCTTTTCTCAGTCTTCTCTTTCATTTCCTGTAACTCCCAGCATATTAGTGGCATTACCACCTTGCTTGGGGTGAAATGATTTAAAGTAAAATCATTATGAAACCTGTCTATCGTTTCATCCAAGTCTGCTGAAATATTGGTGACTGAAGTTCTTAAATTGTAGGAAGTGTCTGTTACTATTGATTCTTAACTGTGTAATGACGGTTTCTCCCAGTACACTGAAGGCACCACCTGTTCTCGAAGTTCAGAGCTTTTATCACAGGCATCACCGCCTATTGTCCTCTTGGCTTTATAACTATGTAGGAGCTATGATGTAATGATGTTGTGTGAATAACTGACTTGGTATCTGCTCTTGGACAAAGAGTTATCTCTCCTTAATTTTCTCTGGACGCTGCCAAGTATGTGTGTTTCATATGGGACTATACTGTTTTCAGAATTAGGTCCTTGCTATCAAGGTAATTTTTTCTTTGGTATTATTTTATACTGAAAAAATAATTCTGACCATCAGAACCTTTTATACATGAAGTCATATTGAATTATGTGTAAATTTTAAGCAATTAATGGATTTTTTTAATTTAGCATTTTTTTTTTAATTTATTACTATTGTTTCTCAATCTTTTTAAGTAATGGCACACCTAGGAGCAAATGAAAATATCACAGCACACTTAGTAAAATTTTTAAAGGGTATACATTTGTTATAAAACCAGACATTTAAAAAAGTTACACACACAAATATGAGCTTAATTTATTTCAGCTATTTGTGCAACTTATTTAGTGTAAAACCTGTCCCTGGTGTTTTTTTTTTGTTTTTTTTTGTTTTTTTATTTCTTCAATGTTTGGTCAAATGTGTGATAAGCGAATCCTCATTTCTTCTTCAGTTGAGTGTAGTCTTTTGTAGTCTTTTTTGCTTTTTATTTTTTTATGTTATTTTGGGCTGAAGCATAATTCATATAAAGAAGTAGAAAATTGCAATAAAACCTTTTTAGTTAATGTAGAATAAAAAGTTTAATACTTATTGATTTATTCAAATAATGCTGTACCAATACTTCTTACACATACATATGTATGCTGTGACAATATTTCACTCCACACTTAAGTTAATCACACGGCACACCAGAATCACTGGTATAAATGTTATATTTAGTGGGTACACTTGTTTAAGTAGACGTCGAATTATTTTTATTTATTTTTTCCCATTGAAATTGACATTTACCTGCTGGGGTGCACAAAAGGCACATTTCCTTTTAATAAGACTTTCATTACCTAAACCGGTAGATGTAAATTTCACTTTAAAAAAAACAAAACATGGATCTCTTTTCAAACTCATGTGCCCAATTTATAGAAACTATTATTTCTATAATATTTATAGAAATAAGAACTATATATGTCTGTATGTTTCAACATTGATATATTTCCATCTTAAATTCTTCTAAACACTGATATTTATTTTTCTTGTCAGAATGAGTGATAATCTTTTTGCTCTTTAATGACGTCATCTGCATCCAGCCAACTCCCAACTCAACACTGACTCATGGTGAACTTATTTTCTCAACATATTTCAATTGCTACCCCAAACTTGGTGCACCCCACCCTTACACTTGATGCCCGCATTAAAACTGCCATCTTATTTTAAGCAGGTCATCATATGATTTGTAATATTGGCTCATCTGCTTCTAGGAACTTTCTTTCTCTATCATTTATTGATTTCAGTATTCAGAAGATAATAAGGTACAATTTCCTCATTTTCCTCATACAATCGGTTGTTGGAGTATCTTCAATGTCTTGCTAAATATTTTGATTGTTAATCATTACATATCACTGATTATATTTAAATACCCTGCTTTGCTGCTTACATATCAACCAGTTGCTTAGTTTTCATGTAATAGATATCGCATTTTAGATCTTAATGGCATAATATTTTTTAATGGTGAAATTAATATCTACTCGCCTAGATTGAGTTGTTCTCTACAACTTCTCAAATCATTCCAGATTATTTAAAGCCAGAAAATATTTTCTAGATTTAATAATGGTTTGTGATAAGTCTTACTAATTAATCCATAGCTGGGGGAGGAAAGGCAGTGGATTCATGCTTTTCTCAAGGGTACTTGAACATTAATGAATATAATGAACCCAATGATAATTGAACTTGACTTTCCTGTTTCCACTTGTATATCCAAACTTAGAGCACCTGGTATTCCTAACCAGTCACCCATTCAAGTACTGATCAGGCTCAACATTGCTTAACTTTGGTAATTGTATAGGAATCAGTGTTTCAATGTGGTGTGGTCATAAGCTAATCACCTGGAGATCATCCACTGTTTCCACCCAATTTTGACTAGGCTCTATTTTTGTTGATGGAAGATAATTTATCTGGGGGTTAGATCTGAGTAATTGTCAATACTCCCATCCCATATTCCTCTAAGATTTTTAAGACTGATGGTCAAATTTTCATCAAAACTTGCATTTTAAAGCATCATAATCAACAACTGATACTTGTCCACTTCTCTCTTTTTATTGCAAGCGGCATTAAATTAGTTTTGTGTCAATATAGTCAGATATTCTTTTATTTCCCAAATTCTGTGAGCAGTTTCAGCAATTTTAAGATCCATTTTAAAATGTCTTAAATATAAAATTCTGTGAATCACGTTAGTCTGTCTGTCAAACCCTTTAAAATAGCCATACATTGGCCTATCAAAACCAAATGTTGGGGAGAAGTGCAAACCGGTAAGTGGGTACAAAGTACAGTTTGTTTTACCAGGGTGTGTAGCTTAGTACAATAAATTTTCATTCATTTTTGGGGGAAAATTAAGTTTTATTATATAACATACAAAATAAGTTCACCACATTGTCATTCTCCTTTCTCTCAATACTACACTGGGAACAGACATCAAATGACTTAACAGCAGCTGTAAATGTCTGTCTGAGCTCCCCCCCTTCTGTACACACCTTTCAACAAAGAAAGATTGACCTTCATAATGAATTTTCTAAGCCACTTTTATTTTACCTCACTGGTTGCAGTTTCAGCATTGTTATTAACAAGGCTAATTGCTTCAAAAAGTTGAAATTTGGCTCCCAAAAGAAACCTTTATGCATGACCAGTTGTATGTTGCATGCTCAAGAGTAAGAAATTCCTAAGAATTTATTCAATGTTAAAAAAAAGAAATTTTCTTAAATGTTTACCATGAAGTCCTATAAAATTAAAGAAATTATTAAACATGGCAACTTGGAACCATCATGTGAGAGATTTAGATTCCACACTACTTCAACAAAAAAGTTAGGAAAGAGCTCCTATCAAAACTAGAAAGAGCAAAAACAGGTTTCTCAAGTTCACTATTTTCCTGAAAAATGGTTTTAATAGAAAGATTTTTATAAATTTCAACATAAGTAGCACTGGCTGATTGGTTATTGAATGCTGAATGTTTCCTTATAAGGAAATTGCAAATATTACCATTATACAACCTTCTTCAGGTGGATAATCTATAAGAATTATATACTTTTTTGTAATGAAGTAGAGGCACCAATTAAATGATAACATAAGACTTGAATCTTTATCATTTTAAATTTTCTTCTACTCCAGACTGTCAGTTACTCTTGGTCAGTCTGTGTTATGTAGCCCGCAACTGAGCATCATCTTTTATATTCTCCATTTGTGAAATCTGAGTGGCTTTCCTTTGACTGCCTGCAGTGGTTGTTTATAAATTGTGTATATCACAAATCTTTCCTATGAGGGAAAACCAGATTCAGGTGTGAAGTCACATATTTCTGCATTTGATATTAGCATTCAACCTACCCAAACCTACCCCATAAATATTGGCTCTCAGATGTTCAACCTGCCATAACCAACTCCATGTATACTCTGCCCTAATGTGATGACCTCCTCACAAATAATACAGGAAGTTGTGCAAACAATGAGACTTTGGGAGCCGGTATTTATGGGGTAGGTTTGAGCATGTTGAATGCTAAAGGGTTAAAATATCCTACAGGTTACGATCTTTGATTAAGCTTATAGTGTATGTAAATTAATACCCTTCTAAAGTAAGAAAATATTAATGTAGACAAAGATAGGAATTATTATGTGTGTTTCTAGGATAAGGCATGAATTTACTCTAGTATGAATTGTCTGTTCTCATGATCATAATTTAAATGACATGTTCTGAGTTTTTCAGACTATTGAACATGTTCTTTGTGTCATATTTGCTGTTTGCACAAGATTTTGGATAACCCAAGGACCACCCTTCTTCAAATCTCATGGACTGATGCTACAGAATCACAAAAAAGAATTGTGCCAAATAATAGGATTTTCATGAGGATTTTCAGCAATAGCATCAGCTGACTGCAAACAGTGTGACTTCGGGAGCCGATATTTATAGGGTTGTGTTTGAGCTGCATTGAATGCTACAGGATAAATGGTTTTCTAATTGTAATTTTTATTAATTTTTTTTTTAAATTTACGCACTCTTAAGTAGCAAGTAGGAAACTGGTTAAACAAGTACACAAAAAAAAAAAAAAGAGTAAGACCTGGTTGCATTTTCTTACCAGGTTTATTTTGTAACGAGCATGCACGAAAACGTCCTCGAATTGCGTGTGTGTGTTGTCGCCGGGCACACCTTGGAGTACCATAGTGGACTCGACCGAGGACTACAAGAAGACACGTGAGTCATTTGGTGTCTTTTTCTTGGGCAACAAAAGCCGTTGCAGTCGGTCGTCCGTTGGCAGCAATCTTGGGTGCCGTTTTGCTCGTTTGCTGTCGTGAAGTGTTCATTTGCTAGAAGGCATTCGTTTTGTGTTGCAAGAAGTTTTTTTTTCCCCCCCGTTTTCTCGCACATATTTAACCTATACAGCAAGACAATCATGAGATGTAGATTTACCAGGAATTATTATTGGTGGCTATAATCTTAATGACATGAGATATGCAGATGGCATTGTACTGATGGTGGACTTGGAATGAAAAGTGCAAAAACTTCTACAGAAGATAACAAAAGAAACAGAAGAATGGACTATGAGACAGAGATGGCCAAAGGTGTGATCTTTTGAATTGGAAGCATCAGAATAAAGCAGGTGCAAAAATTTTTCTTGGTAGTGTAATAACAGGTGACAAAATGTGATGCAGATATGAAGGTGCATCAGAATAGTAAGAGACCTTCCAGAAACTAAGGAAAGTATTAAGACAGGAAAATTTTGTTAGCATTTTTTTTTTTTTTTTTTTTTTTTTTTTTTATTTATATCTATCCTCATGTATCATATTGAATGCTAGGCAATTTTTTGTGTAATTTCCCTTCAAGACATGGGCAATCATGGTCCTCCATAACTTCCTAACTAAGCAACACTTGTCTCTACTATCCCTTTGTCCTTGCTATGTCATCCATTTGCCCAAAAGTTACTCGCTGTTTACCTCTGCTCCTCCTTCCTTTTTTGTGAGTGTTAAATTTTCCAATCCCTTTTCCTCATCTATTCCAATTTCTGATTTTAAGTATGAGTGTCCTTCTCATTCATATTTTCTTTAGACCTTCCTCATTGCTCACATGTTCTGTCCATGGTATTTTCAGTATCTGTAGTGCCACATTGCAGTCACTTCAGGTCTTCTTCAGCTGTAAAGAAATTGTCCAGTATTCACTACCATACATGAAGATATGACATATAAACAATGAGGAAGTTCTAGAGGAAATATGAATGAGAAGGACATGTAATTAAAATCAGAAAGAGGCAATTGAAATTAGGATAGATGAGGAAAAAGGAATTAGAAAATTTAATACTCACAAGGAGAGAAGGGAGAGCAGAGGTAAACAGTGTGTAAGTTAATGTTTGAGTAAATGGATGGCATAACAGGGACAAAGGCGTAGTAAAAAAAAGTCAAACATTACTTATATAGGAAGTTGTGAAGGGCCATTATTTCCTGTCTTGAAGAGTCATGACACAAAAGAACTGGTTGCATATAATAACATTCCTCAAATGTTATTTTAAAATTTCTTATAAAACTATTTTTAAAAATATGTATTTGAAGAAGAGTAAAAATAAACCCAATTGCCTTGATTAGAATCTTAGATTATGAAAATTGGGAAAACGCTTGTACCATTTGGCCAAGTGTTTTTCTTTGCCTGACCCAGAATCTTTTATACAAATAACTTGTGATATTTAAAGCTTAAGTGATTTTTTTCCCCTTTCCAATAAAGAAATGGTAAATCAGCAGATAAAAATGCTAACCTTTCCTATCATTGGTCGATGAATCAAAAAAGGTCAAGAACATCCTGACATATAAAAACCTCAGGATACTGACTTGTGATGAGGAGATGAAATGTTTTCTCAATAAGACAAAAGTTTGAAAGCCTCAAAGCCAGAAAAGTTGTTATTCTGTTATTGAGCTTTTATGAACATCAAATATGACTTCTAGATCTTTCTCATGTTTCAGATTTTACAACTATTCAAATTGTTGTATTGAAGTATTAAAAACTTAAAATGTCTAGATTGTCTTCATCAGCCTGAATACAATTTTCCTGTTGTATATGTTAGTATGAAAGGAAGTGATGTCATAAGTGTGTGTGTGTGTCTTTTGATGGAGGTGTTGTCAGCATATTTATCTGTGTGTTGGAGGTGTTATTGTTAAGGCATCTCAACAATATGAAATCTTTAGGCAATTGTCTGACAGTACAAAACCACTTAGCATAGCATTTCTTTTCTGAAAAGTTTCAGAATATATTGGTGGTTAATATCTTAAGTCTCTATCTCTCACTCACACACATTGATGATGTGCAACAACCTATTTGAAATATGAGAAAAATTAGACAGGCAGACCTTGTCAGTTGAATCTAATAAAACTTGTTTAAATATATTCTTGATGCACATAATCCACGCACATATCTGTTTGGATTTTCTGGTCTGGACTATTGAGCACTCTCTGTTTTTGCTGAGTTTATGTAGATTTCTTAATATGTGTTGTTTTTTTTTGTTTTTTTAAATGCCCCCCCTTTTGTGCTTATATGCATGAGAAAGGGAGAATAATTGGTTTTTGAGCATGCATATTTTTAGTCTGAAGGTATTAATATTGTGGATTGGCTCTATTGTATTCATTCTTCTTAATATCATCTTTTATATTCTCTTCTACAACTGCATATATTGTACATGCAGTTTTTAGTCATGTTTTCTTTGAATATAAGCTTAATTTTTGTGATAGTGTTGTCTTTATAACATATATAAAATTTTCAGAAATTTTATGAGTACAGTGAAAAATTCATTCCTAATTATTTTTCTAATATTGGACTGTAGTGTTGGTAGAAAATATTTTTATTTATAAAAA